GCGCCCCACCCACTCTGTGGGCTATGGTGCCGGCTCGCACCAACGTGCCTGCTGGGACCCCCAGGAGCAAAGTGAAATATTCAATGCTCTCCAGCACTGACGATGGACACATGAACCCTCAGAAGGACACTTTACCCGCTGAAGATTGCTGTAAACCCCGAAGATGTCCCGGTGTGGCGAGATCGCACTTACTAAAGTGTCAGGAAAGCCCCGCTAAGATTCCCTACAAGGCCATTGCCTGCTTCGCCCTGCAGTTTTTGATAGGCGCTGTTCTCCTGATCACCGGCTGCCTCCTGCTGGCGGGCTACCTCGGCGAAGCAGGACCCAACCGGGCCATTGCCATTCTCATTGTGGGCATCCTGGTGTTGCTGCCCGGGTTTTACCACCTGCTCATCGCTTGCAAAGCCCGTCGAGGCTGCCCTGGCTACTCCTACCAAGACCTTCCGGACTGTGGCGACTAGCCCCACCGCAGCCAGGAGAGTGCGCTGGGGCTGCGCGGAGCTTCAAGGCATTTGGCAGAAGCTGTAGAAATCCATGTCGAAGGATTAAGGAATTCTGCAATTTTGCAGCTACTTGCAAAACTATGGCCAGCTTTTATAATCCCTACCCAGAATGTTAATCGAATTTATAATTAGACAAACAGGATACCAGGGCATGCTCTTATTTTTATTTTCCTGGCCCTGGCTAAAACCCCTGACAGATTTCTCCACAGGAATATGAATAATGGAAGACTAGCAATATTGGTTTTATGGGAAAGTAAAAAGTCATTCTGTAGGACAAAATGTTGCCTCCTCCACCCTATTTAGAGATGAGCATTTCTTTAAATAAATAGTTCTTATTAATATTTTTTATCTTGTGACAAATGGAAAAATGCAGTCTATCTAATTTCCTATTACTACGTAATTTCTTTGGAAAATTTCTGAGTACCTAATCCCCCACACTTATCTCTAACTTGCATTCTGGATGATCTTGGTAAAATCACGTATCAAATTAAGAAAGGTAAAAAGCACTACAGTTGAGTTGGGAGGAGGCCCCATGAGCTTTAAGACAGAACTGGCTTTAAATCCAGATGCAAACTTTCTAGCAGTATAAGCTGACACAGTACCTTAGTGCTCTGACACAGAGTTTGGGACCATAATGTCTACTGTTTGGGGTTTCAGTAGGGGTCAAAGTATTTTAGAGTAACAACATGGCACATGGATGTTCCCCAAAGTGTTAATTTCTCACTGTCAAAGAGGCTTCTGCAGAAGACTGCACTCAAAATTAACTAAAGCCACAGTGAATTGCATCTATCCACTGAAAGTTAACAAAACCCAAGAGAACTAGACTGCTCATTTGCAAAGTTATAATCTCAGTTCAAATCAGGACACTGGGTTGCTTTTTATTTGTATGAGCCTTTTCCTTTTGAGTTCTATATAGAAATAGGACAGAAGCTCATATAATTAGAAGGAGTCTCATGAGAAAAAGAATAGAAAATTAAGCGCAGGGCATGGCAATGGGCCTGTCAGAGGGAGGGGCACTAAAGCATAAGTCTCACTGGTTTCTGATACGTCTGGCTGTGATAGAGGTGAAGAAAGATGCAGGAAGCCGGACCATCCTTGCTGCTTGACACAGTTGCTGCAGGAAAGAAACATCTGCACAGCATATGTTTCAAGGGACCTGGCGTATATAGCATACTGTTCTTAATATGTTTGCTCCCCTTAGCGCTATGTGTTTTAGCCAGGGTCACCTCTCCGAGAAAGGTTGTTTCCCCAGGTAGGGATTTTCCCCTGAAGTTAGGGAGGGGATAAAACCCCTTAACTAAGTGCCAGGCGGGTAGTTAATCACTTTAACTAAGAACAATCACGCTTAAGCCACATAATCTTTACTCCCTGGAATGGAGATAAGAAA